AAAAGTACTCCAGAGTGTTGTTCAGCATGGGGGTGAGTAGAAAATGAAGGCTAATCATGTTTTGGGTGTACTATTCCTTTAATGTGAATGAACTGGCATTGGGGGAATGCACTGGCGATCTAGGCTGTTTGCACAATACAAATACTTAGTTGCATATTTGCAACGTTAGGCTTCAAGAGGTCAATACCAGAAGTTCTCAGTTTTGTCACCATTGCCTGTTTCTCAGGAATGCTGCCAGCAGCTGCAGTCCAAACAGAGCACCCTCAGTAAAATGACAGAAACCGTCAGCAGACTGATCGGTGGCCAGGACACTTCAGAACATGCAGAGCTTGATCGTCTTAGCCATTCCTGGCTCGAGCTTTGCCACCAGGCGAAAAAGCTGCAGACACAAAGAGAGGAGGACCTGCAGCGATCCAAAGATTACCATGACTGCATCACTGCAGTGGAGACGCTGTTTGAGCAAGTGTCCAAAGAGTGGGACAATCTGGCGAGGTGTGTATAAATACACGAAAAAGAAAAGATGTTCAAATTCTCTAGTCACATTGTAGAGGCAAATCCAATTTTCTTTGAGTTTTCAAGCTCAGTATGTAAGTAATTTACATATACTGATATCTTCACATTTGATGATTTATATTTAATTTATCTAAGAAAAAAATAAAGGTTTAATAAGTTATAATTTTGCCATTTCTCATTGTATCTTTAGTTGGATTTTTGCTTAAAATTGCTCCTTGTTTTCACATTTGTTTTTAGAAAACGAAAGATAGAAGTTTAAATCAAAAATTCCCAAACAGGTTTTATTTGTCATTAAAAACATTTATAAGAAGGTCTAATAAGCCAATAAATTGGGTTGCATGATTAATCATACAATCATAAAGTTATTGTTTGATAATGAGCTATTTCTTTACCTTTTTCTTTTTTTATTTGTTCTTAAGGATGTTTGTAACTTTTTTCTTAGTTAGTTTGGGGAATTGACTGTAATGGGACTCTACACAGTTGGCAGAAAATATTATTGGCATGCAAATGCCCATAAATGGTATTCCAAACAATCCTTTGGCGTATTAATATTGTAATCAGTGACATTAAGGTGATATTTTAACTTTTTACTTAAATATTGTGCAGTCCTGCTGGTACATAAAATTACCTAATTACTCTGTGACTCCTTTCAGCGTGCATACATTGTTTTTAAACAATAGGGTCATTGCTCAATGCTCTTCAGTAAAATAACACCAAACATCTCACAGAAAAGAACTTTGCTATGTAAATTGCCATGTGAACTATGCTTGTAAATTCAGGAACTCATGATTGTCATATTTAAATGGTTTCTACCACTTTTATTAGTGATTAACAAAATTATCATTGCAATTACTGACTTCAGCAGTCGTCTGCATGTTTTATTTTTTGTTTATAAATATCTTTACTTTGTCATAAGAGTCTTTAGGAAGAGGCTGTAAAGGACAAAACCTCCAAATGACAAAATGAAGCAACACTTTGTTGCTTCTAGGTAAAGTGTTAGTTTGTCCTCAGTGAAAATTTCTACAACAGTCCAATTTTTTGCTGCTTTAAGTGTTTGAAGCAAACATAACAAAAGATTCCATTATTTGCTTGTTCTTTATGCTAAAATATTTCCATAAAGTTCCTTCTGAGTTTACCGTATCAGACGGGCTGTCTACTGACGGTGGGCTTCTATGACAGACTGCCATAAAGGAAACAGAAAAAAGATGACTGACCTGCCGTCTTTCAGTGAAATCTGTAATAATTGTTAACATTTTTTTGCCACAGAACTGATGCTGAAAGTTCATCTCAGCACCTGGAGGCATTACGAAAACTTGCTGTGACTCTAGAGCAACAGAAAGGAGCCCTTGAAGACCTTAAAGAGCAGAAACAGAAAGTCATCCAACACTTGAACTTGGACGATAAAGAGCTAGTGAAAGAGCAAATCAGTCATTTTGAGCAGCGATGGTCTCAGATGCAGCAACTAATCGAAAGAAAAATACAGGACTCCATGGTTACACTTGAGGACATGAGTCAGGTGGAGGGTCGCCTGAGAGAGGCTAGAGACTGGGCTGAGGAGCAGCAGCCGGCCTTGTCTGAAGCCATGAAAATGAGCCCCCCGCCCGAACTGGCTCAAAGTTTCCTATTTGACCACCTGAGCATCTGCAGTGAACTTGAGGCAAAGCAGCTCCTCCTGGCGCAGGCCATGGCCGACGCTGACAGGGTGCTGCCACGGCTGGGCCTCAGCGAACGCCAGCATCTCCAGCAGCTGATTTCCGACACGCAGTCAGAAGTTGAGTCTCTGAGCGTCAAAGTGGTGCAGCGAAGAAAACACCTCAGCAAGGCTTTTACAGAGAGGACGCAGTTCCTAATGGCTGTCAATCAGTCAATCTGCTGGGTTCAGCAGAATGAGAAGAAGGCTCAGGCAGAGGAATACATCGCTTTATTACCCGATGATCTGGCTAAGCAGGTACGAACATGCAGGAACATCCAAAGCAGCCTGAAAGCCTATCAGAGCGAACTAACCTCGCTGTGGTCTCAGGGGAGAGACCTGATGAGGGAAGCCAGCGAGGAGGAAAGAAATGAGATTCTCACAAAGTTGCAAGAGTTACAAAATATCTTTGACAGGACTCTGCACAGGTGTGGCCAGAAACTACAGGAGCTTGAAAAGGTACTTGTCTCGAGAAAGTATTTCAAGACAGATTTAGAGAAAATTTGCCAATGGTTAAAGCAAGCTGACATTATCACATTTCCTGAGATAAACCTGATGGTGGGAGATGCTGAACTTCAAGCACAGCTACTGAAGTACCAGCAGATAATCGAGCAGGCGGTGGAGTATGAGAATCTTCTGCTAATTGTACAGAGAGCAGGCCAGGAGATACTGCCCACTCTGAATGAAGTAGATCACTGCTATTTGGATGAAAAACTCAACACCCTCCCTCAGCAGTACAACAGCATACTAGCCCTAGCCAAAGAGAAACAGGAGAAAATCCAACAGGCCATTCTCACCAGGAACGAGTACACGTCTTTCATAGATGTCACTCACAAAGCACTGAAAGAACTTGAGGACCAGTTCAACACTTTGGGGACTCAACCCGTCGGCTTGCAAACAGAAGAGGTCGTCAATTTGCAAAGCGATTACAAAGCGATCCTGGCAGATCTCAGCAACCTTGGTCTGGCTGTAAGCGAGCTGAATCAGAAGAAAGAGGGATTTCGTAGCACAGGGCAGCCTTGGCGCCCAGAAGAAATGACCCAGCTAGTGAGTTTGTATAATGGATTAAAGAGGTTGATCGAACAGAAAGTTGAGCATCTGGACGAGACTTTAGAGTCTTTCGAGGACCACAAGGCGATGGCTATGCAGGTCGACTCCGAGCTGAAGGCGACAAAAGAGCAGCTGGTAAAAGTTAACGCAGAGACCCAATCTGCCGAAGAGAGACTGAAAAACTACCACGCTCTGGCGGGAAGCCTTCAAAGCGCCAACTCCCACTTGTCAAGGCTTATGGAGCAGATGGACTCTCTTGCACCCCGTGTGGACCAAGCAGCTCATGACGCCTCCAAAGAGCAGGTGATTTTGTGGCAGGAGGAGCTGCGATCCCTGCAGGCCGCAGTAGGAGAACTGATTGAAGAATGCGAGAACAGGTTTGTTCAAAGCAAAGACTTTGAGACGGAGATGAAGAGGACCCTTGATTGGCTGCAGCAGATCAGGGATGAGCTCAGCTGTGCTGTCATCGTTGATGTCAGAGTGGAGAAAGTGCAGGAGGAGATCCGAAAACAGCAAATCCTACAGGAGGAAGTCCAGTCCAGACTCAGAATAGTGGCCGCTCTCAGTAGCCAAGAGAAACAGGAGTATATTAGTGCCAATGAGCTGGTCCCCGCACATGTGGACATGAGCCTTGAGGAAATGGCTAAACTACAAGCAGATGTCCAGAAAGCTCTGAGTGCCAAACAGGTGGGACTACATTTTTTATTAAACTTTCATTTCTCAATTCTATAAACTGCTGGAAAATCTTTTTCTGTCAAGCTTTTGAAGTATTTGTTTAGTTTCTAATGTGTTCCTTTTCTGAATACTGTTTTTTGACAAAATTAGGATGTAATTAAGCTCAGGTATATATGAACAGGTGCTTTACATTTCCTTATTTTACTTAAGTACACTTTTTAGGTATCTATACTTTCCGACTTATCTGACTTATCCGACTTCTACTCATTACATTTTCATACAAGTATCTTTATACTTTCTATTCCTTATATTCTTAATGCAAACGTTACTCGTTACTCTTGGCTTCGGTTTAATTTTTTCTTAATATTTATTTCCCGTCATGTGCTCCATCCAATG